TGACTTAAAATGACTTCCCCCCTCCACTCTCTGACCCAGTCTGTCTCAATTAAATGATCACCGTGCGTTTCTTGCAGGTAAATTATTTCGCTCTTCTTTTGGTTCAGCATTTGATAAATTAAAGCACGTTTTACAGCCTCCCTCGACCCGTTAAGATTAAATGATGCTATTTTAAAAGAATCCACGTTGGGTAAGAAGCTAAAAACAAAATACCAAATGACTACAAAAAATAATAAAATACTTCTGTGCATCATTTAAAATCAAAGTTGTTGTCTAACTTTAGTCAGTATTTTCTTTAATCTAAAGACTTCTGTGTCTGKAAAACCTGATGCCTCTTTGTTCCTGATGTGATACCTTGCTGAGAAATAAAATHATTTTAAGTCAGGAAAAAAACTTTCAATCTTTATTCCTCTGAATCCTTTAGTTTCTTTTTAAAAAGTTCTAAAAGTCTCTACAGGGTATCTCGGTGCTTTGCAACTCATTTGTGTGACAGATATTTCACTATCGTCAGAGAACCAGCTCTCATTGTCGCTGCTGTCCGACACCTCCTTCCTCTCTGCAGCCAGCTTGCAGGCCTGCTTGCTGGCCTGTACAGCCGTCACCACATTCCTCCTTTTGCTTAGCCTCTTTAACGGGGCTGAAGCCTCCAGTTCCATCGACTCCTCCATTTCATTGGTGTCTCCTGCCACTCCGGTTCCAAAAACCAGCTCTGCATCATTCTGTTCCTCCACCTGCACCTCTCCTTTCCCTCCCTGATCCCCACAAGCTAAATGCTCCTCATCGCCCCTTACCTTCACCTGCTGCTCTCTCTTCACACCATTTCTCTCCCTCACTTCACTTTCACCCTCACCATCATTCACTCCTTCACCACCACCATTAATCCCATCACCATCGCCATTCACCCTATCACCACACAACACTGTGCTCTCATCCTTTCCTACGTCTACACTCATTTTCACACTTTCCACTCCTGACACCTCAACAGTACCTTCTGCCTGCTCCTCTGCAGCGGGCTCTTCCGCCACCACCGTGGGTTCCTCCACCGCAGCCACCGCAGGTTCCCCCGCCGCAGCCGCCTCGGGATCCTCCACCGCGGCAGCGGGATCCTCCGCTGCTCCAGCCTCACCAGGTTGGCTCTCCACCTGCTCAGCAGCAGCGGGCTTCTGCTTTGCACTCGGCAGGGCCGGCCCGGCCCTGTCGGGGCACATTCTAATATTGTGCCCCTCCTGACCGAGACCGATACATTTCATGCTAGAGGATGTAGCAAACAAGATGTAATCAAAATCATCTACTCTAACATGAAATCGAAGGTTGAATTCTTCGTCCCTCCGATTTAATACCATAAACAGTTGTCTCTTTTGGGAGACAACATGTTTTAGTAACGGTGACTTGCACCCAGAGGCAGTGGTGGACAGTAACAAAGTACTTTTACTTTATTACTGTAAGTAAGTACATTTTTTGAGTATCTTTACTTTACTTGAGTAGTTATTTATTTGGGAACTTTTTACTTTTACTCCACTACATTTCTAGGAAGCTTGTCGTTACTCGTTCCTTTTAGATCAGCATAGCTTTATAATCCACTGTAAAAAAGGGAAAAAAATCTGTTGTTCTGGTTTTTCTTTTCATGAAATGCAATTGGCCACAAGCTATATTCGTCACAAAGGTAACCAATCACATGCGTAGCTTATAGCRTACGTCACACTCGTTAACTCTCGGTAGCGGAGCGCGCGCTCCCATCACTTRACTTTCATTTCAAGCAGAACCAGACAAAAGAAGAAGAAGAAGATGCAATGGAGACCACTGAGGAAACGCAAGGAGAGAAACCAACACACCCATGGCCATATCTCAGTTCAACGTTTGAGGTTTTAGGACTTAAAAATAATACGTATCAGTTCAAATGTCTTCTCTGTTTACCACGGGTAAAGTACCTTTCAGCATTCCATAACTCACCATCTAACCTGAGAAAGCATTTGAGGTAAGTCAGCAAACTTTTTTCTCACTAGTTTAAACGCTTTAAATTAAGTTGACTTTGGTTAGGGTGGTTGTGGT